TGCGCCCCCACCCCTACTCCCCCAAGCTGGGTCATGATCCTGAGCCCCGCAGTGGGGGGACCAAGCCAGTCTGGCAGGCGGCCCTGGTACCAGCCCAGGCCTGCCCCGGGGCCCTGGGTGAACCCAGGTGTCCCGGACCTGCCTACCTACCTCTTGCACGCTCTTATTCTTCGGGAGTTTAGAAACAGGCTCAAAGTCACTAGCCCCGCCAAGACCTGGACGGGCTCCGAAATACAGCCAGTGGAATGGTACCCTCCCCAAATAAGTTTCTTTCCTCGATTTTCCTGTGGCCTGGGGTCAGGGACTGAACTAAGATGACGCCACCATCCGAGGGCTGGGGGACCGAGCCAGAAGTCCCCTTGGACGACCAGGGCTGGGAAACCGAGTGGACGAATAGGGTGGGCATCGGGGCCTGGCGGGAATTTCTGTCTTGCTCACCCAGCAGCTCCTTGCAGGGTCGCGGGACGCACCTGGAGGTTCAGGTTGCCTGGTGCCTTTGCTCCGTGTGTCCCCGCCTTGCCCGCCTAGGCAGGAAACAGGAGGCTGGAGGCTTCCCCTCCCCGCCGTCGGGGATCCTGGGTGAAGCCCCCAGAGACTGGCGCAGGCGGCTGGTGCGCAGCCAGGGCCCAGCGCCAGGTCATGCTCGCCCAGCGCCCTCTCTGCCTACCCTTCCCTTCGCGCGCTGGAAGCCCGGAAGCTGGGCACGGGCCAGCATCTGCAAGATGCCACTACTCTGGAAGCCCACTCCGATTCTCCCAGGTCGCAGGAGGGAGAGACCTAGGCTGGGGCAGAGGAGATGGGGCAGAGCTGGAGGGGAAGAATTGGGACCCACGGCGGAGGAAGGGGTCTGGGCGCCGAGGCAAGTGTGCAGCAGGTGCCCAGCAGACCTAGGGAAACCGGGGCACTGGGCTGGGGAGCCGCACAGTCCCCTTTCGCCTTCTCGATTCCTTTCCAATCCCTCGCTCTGGTCGATCCCAGCCCTGGCCCCAGCTCCCTGACCTGTTCCCCGCCCTCCGCCCCGGTGGCTTCCAGCAGCAACAGTTGGGGTCCGCGGCAGCCCAGACTCCCCCACTCCCGCCGTGCCG